GTCTCAACAGTGTTTGCAATAATGCTCCACCTTCCCCCTACACCTTTAGTATGTTCAACATCCATGGCAGATCTTGGCTCCAGCGCTGCATTCCCCTCATTGTCAGTTATCAGTCACAGCCCTAGATTCACAGCCCTAGATCCTTTCACAAGCAGTGTCTCCTATTCTTATGGAGAATGTCCTGTTCCCAGATGGATGATCCGCGGTTCAAAACGCTACATGGTTCAAATGAACCAAACTAACTGAGCAAACAGTTTTCTACAGAACTGACCTGTTTATGTCAGCTGCAGACTGTGCCAACAGCAGTTCTGCACTTTCTTCCTGACGTTTATCTGGGTAAGGTTTATGGGAATATATATTCTTGTCTTAATGCCAATCCAAATTCTACTGGATGACCTCCATATGGAAATAAATGCTCTAAAAACTGATCTGAAGTTACATGCCGAGTACCACGTGACATACGCATCAGAAGGTAAAGCCAAGAAATCTCTCAGGAACCTAATTTTAGTTACCTGTTTCAACTGAACTTGCACGTTTTAAAGGGATTGCATTTGATAAGACCTATTTTACATAAAAGTCACACCACATAATTGTCAATACATTATTATATATAAGCTTAAAAACCATGAATTCTGAATTTCGTGAACTTAATAATGCAAGTAGTTATCAGAACTATTTATTTATTTCTAAAGATTGCTCTTAGTATGGCAAAATAAGATACATAGAAGGAGTCAGTATTGTATAGCAACGTGCTGATCCAAGCAACCGAGACACCCAAGTTCATCTACCAACTCATTCAAGTTAATTGGCACCTGTAAGAGATTCAGCTTCCCTTCCACATTCCAAGAAGCTGACTTGAATTTGCAGCAGCAGTATTATTTTAGCTCACGTCTAATTAAGAGCGTTACACCCACTTCTTAAATAGCCATTTTCATTACTGCTGTATATAGCTTGCTGCCTTACCCCATGCCCTGTCCTTCATAGACATAAGAAGTTTCTTAAAAAACAAGTTTCTAAGGTGCCAAACCCCATGAGGAAGAAGGGTATTCTATCCATTAGGTAAAGGTACTAATGAGGATGAATGAAACGACTATATTTTCTTATGACATCTGAGAGACTTCAAACAAGATACGTAGGCCAGGACTCATGTGATTACAGATGCATTATTTCTCCAAAGTAGACCATGTCACCGCTACCCACGTCTGCATAGGTAGTGCACAGTGGTAGTTTTAGCTCGCAAAGCTGCAATGATAGAATAACACAAAATATAGCAAACACTTTGCACAGCACTGTGACTCCTTGTTATCTGACACGACTCTCCCCGTTAACGCTTAGATGGAATTTAAGATATCAACTGTTGAAGTCTCCTTCAATAGTTGGGAAGCTACCCACACCATAAGGATCATGCCCCACTGACACACTACCACTGCTGGACACTCAATCCAGGGAGCTCAGCATAATCAGAAGAGCGCTACTGGGTAGGGCATTCTCTGATAACATCGTCCGTGCGAGGATCCGCTTTTCAGCCTGATGTATTAAGACATACAGGTCTTCTAGCCAGGCTGAATATGTCCTCCCTCTTCTCAAAGTTGTTGAAGTTTTTTTGCTTGTTTTGTTTTAAGAAAGAGGACATGATCAAAATATTGGGCTATTTTTTTCCCCCCTCAGGGGAGGATTCTAAATATATCTCTATTTCTGCATTTTATAAATTGCAATAAATTCTCTTGGAGGAAAAAAAAACTTGCCTTAGTGCCAGATCTTTGTACTGATACTAAGTAATTCAGAAGAGGTCGTCTTAATTCCAAAATACATCCACTAACACCACTTAAAACTTTGAAGCATTTCAAAGATACTAATTTATACATACTTAACTAAAATAAGGTTACTGAAAAACATCTTCCATTTCATGCAAATAAACCCTTGATGAAAGCAACTATTACAATTTCATATGCTCCACCACATGTACCTTTAAATGTACAAAGATGCGTGTTCCAGAAAAACAGAGAACATTACTTGAAGATTACAGGTTCTCCACTATTTAGATTCCCGGTCAATATTTCGCGTTCTCCTTCAAAGAGGAAGGACTGTACCATGTCAAAGGCTGTTGCCTATACGATAAGAAGCACGTTTCCTAGTTTTGGCTTTGTTAAGTATAGGATTGCCCAAGAGTAAATAGATGAAAATTCCTTGGCAGCAGGCCTGTCTTCTGGGAAACTTTTGTCACTTACGAAGATGCTAATTTTAATCTCATGAAAGGCAAAGTTTCCTAAACTTAAAACAGTTACTATCTTTATTAAAATACCTCCATAACAAACTATAGAATCTGAATATATTAAAAAAAAAGAAAAAAGAAAAAAAAATCTGAAGTGTGAAATACCAACTTGAAGGCAAACTACTGGCCAGAAAATACTTTGGGCTTGTATTTTAGACCACGTCATTTTTCTTATGCAGGTACTTTCCTGAGGCTGACAGTTACAAACAAGGTATCTACAATCTAAGCAATTATCTCACAGGCTCAGTTGCATGATCTTTAGCATCTATACAGTAAGTGCAACTCAAAGTAAAATAAAACAGCTTTATTTGCTCTAGGGGCCCTTGTCTCTAAATGCAGCTCCAGTACTAAAGCCTTAATCCCTTAATAGTAACATTCTTACTGGTAGGAATGTTTTGGTAGGAAAACTTTGTTCCTTTATCAGAGTAGCCATACAAAGCTGGCGTCTTTAAAAGAATAACAGCTTATAGTCCAGTTCCATTAAGACATTATATTGTAGATGAAAAGTTTCTCACTTTCAAAGGAATCAGGAAAAGCAAACTTTGCTAAGTCAATTGGAATCAAAAAATAAATAAATACAGACACGTATGTATGTGTGTGTACACAGATATGTAAAAATAAGTATACATGTATAGTCACATTCTAACCACAAGCTTTACAAACTACCGTAGCCACTGTATACAGAGATACCTTTACTCATTTTGCCTGGTGTAACGTGACTGACACCTATAAATGTAATAACACCCCCACACCCTATAGTTAAGGTGAAAAATAGGCAGCCCATAACTTACAAAAATATTTGGGTTTTTTTTGTTGTTGTTGTTAAGACAAGATGAACTACTTTTTTCATACTGATTGAAAAAAAGAATACCCACCCTAAGCTCCAAGGACAACCGTGTTGGCGTTTTTCAGAGGTTCTGGTAACACAAGCAGCAGCCTAAATAACAAAACCAACAAGTCCTCACCTAATAAGCAGCAATACTCTATTTCAGAAAGCCTCATACTTCTGACCATAATATAGTACTCATCACCTAGTGAGCTACAGGATTGTCTATTGCAGCACCTCAGCACCTTGATTTGAAACAGAGAAGTGTTTTTCAGTTTACCCATTTTGATTCCTAATAGTCAAACACATTCCTTTTATGTCCCCTGGCATCATTTTGCTTACAGTCTATACGAACGCTGAGCAAGTTAAGATTTCTGTGGCATCCACCACTCAGTCAATCTGGCTTGCTAAGGGACAGCTGGAGCTAAATAAAAGACAACAAGCTTTTAAAGAGGGTCTGCTTTCATAAATATTACAGATGAACATTCACACATTTTAATACAAACTCCATGCAGACATTACACTTTGAAACACAGTAAGAAGAGAGCCTTAAGTAAACAAAACATCTTTTAGTGATCTGGACACTACCAAACCTGAAAGAGCATAGTAGACTGCTTTATTTTCCAACTGTGGTGGGGCTTGGGGGGGG